GGCCGGCGAGCGGACGGCGGGACCACGGAGGTGGTGGCCGGGTGGAATGTGGGCGCGCCGGACACCTGTCAGCTCGCGGGGGCTGCGCAGAGGCCGTAGCAGCGGCTCCCGCGGTGCAGGAATCCCTCCCCGGCCCGCGCTGGGTCTGGGGTTCCCCGCCGCCCCCGGCGCCGGGGCCCTCGGACGGCACCGCAGCTCTGCGGGGCCCGGCGCTCGCCCGGAGCAGGATTCCCCGGCTCGACTCCGCCTCCCGCGCGCCCTGCCCCGCCCCGCCCCGCCCTCCTCTTGCCCGGGCTCGGGGACTTGAGGGAGGACGGGGTTGGTTCCACGCGGCGGGGCGGGGAGAAGGGGCACCCGGCGGGATGCAGGGCGGTGTGCGGGATTCGGACTTCGAGCAGGCCTGTGGGCCGGCCGGGGCGGAGCTGGGAATTGTCGGGCGGGGGAAGTCACGAAATGTCTGGGTGCTGGAAGGCCTGCGGGACGCGCCCTGGTCCCCGGAGTCCGGATCCTAGAGAAGAAGGCTCTCTGGGCGATTTGCGTCCTCGGAGGGAGGAATGCAGGGTGTGAAGGGCCCTCAGACTGTACTTTTTGTTATGCCTGAGGGGGGCCTGCGAGATCTGGCCTTAGCGCTCGCCTTAGAGCTCACCTGGCCCCCTTCTGCCCTCGTTTTTTTACAGGGGAAACTGAGGCCGAGAGAAAAGGCCTCCCAAGCCCACCCCAGGAGTCAGAATTAGAACTGTGGGACACAAGCTCATTTTGCTTTTCTGTGATGTCTCTTAAAATCTCAAATTTGGAGAGTTTGGCTGGTGCTTAATTCGTCCTCTGTACAATGACCCATTTGGTTTTCTCCTCGCAGCAAGCAAACGTTGAGGAAAATTCCAAGAAGTCAGTGGACTTCTGGGTGGAGAGTGGCTTGGGGGAACGTGAGCCCCGTAGCCCTGCGGCTCTGGGGGTCCTGACCGGGAATTTCACTGTCAGGAAACCCTGTTCTCAGGTGCGTGAGCCCGTGCCTGGCAGGTTGAGTGATCATGTATTTATGAAAGATTTGTCTGTAAAATCCGTGTGAAGGGCCTGTTCATTCCCATAGGATATTAAAGTGCGTGGAGGACTGCCAAGAGTAACGGACCAAGATCAGATTTATATTAAAAAGCAATGTCGTAGTAATTTGACCTGTTAACACTTGGGCGGAAAAAAATCAGGGGTGAGAAGACAGGAATCTGATAGGCAGCCAAGCAGTTGGCTGAAAGGTTGTGCCCCAGCAGTCCTCTATGTAACTCTCGAAGGGGTTTGAAACCTCCCTGGTTTGAAGCCATTTGTGTATTTCTGGGTCTGTGAGAAGCAAGGGGTGGAGGGAGCCCACACGGGCTTCCACAAAAAATGACCCTCCTTCTAAACCAGCTGACCTTCAGAAAGGGTCTACAAAGGACAGGATGGCATTGCTAGTCATTTCCAGAAGCTTTTGTCCATTGTTTTCTAACAATAAACAAAAAACTGGGTTGAGGAAGTTGTAAAAGCAGCCTTAAAACATAGGTCCCAGACTCACCCGGCCTCTTTCTAGCTGTGTGATCTTAGGCAACTCATTTGTGCTGGCTTGGCCTTGGTTTCCCCATCTGAACGGTGGGGTCAGTGATACTTGCCTTTCAGGGGTGCTGTGATGATAAATGCATGCAAGCTGGTGCCGTCAGTCCACTGTGGGGCTCACGTGCTGGCTGTTGTGATGTAGTCACTATCAGTCCAGCCCAAGCTAGCTGTCCAGAATGGTCCTTGGTTTCTACAGAAAGGTTAATTTCCCCCTAGGAGAGGTTGGACTCCCCTTTTGTTTAAGCCTCCACGACTTTTCTGCCTGGAAGTTATGCTACTTGAAAGGATGTGAATTTTCATGCTTTTATTCAAAATTGCTTCTCCTTTCAGGCTTGCATGTCAGTCTCTGTTCCTGATGTGGTTTAACTGTTTAGTCTGAGCCGTGTGCCTGGCGAACAGCCCGTAAACAGGGGCATCTGGTGGTCCCGAGGGTTGAGAGAGGCCCAGTCTTAAACGGGTGCGTTTTGAGCCAGGCTATTGTCCTCAACAGCCGTGCTGCTCTCTGAGGTTTCAGCCAGAGGCGGGGACGTCCTGAGCTCCATTGTGGTGAAACCCAGCTGAAACTGTGCTCTACAGATCAGTAAGCAAGCACAATTAAGCCCGTGCCTACCTTGCTTACTGGGTAATCCGTCCCTGAAAGACATAACAATATTAGAAAAAGATTGGAAAATGGGAGAACAAATGGTTCTAATCCCAGCTGTCTAATACTTTACTTTTCTACCTCTTCATCATTATCCTCTTCTGCATTTTCCATATTTTCTAAAATGTACAAGTATTCTGTTTGTTTTTTTTTTTTTTTTTAAAAAGCATATTCTATTAAAGGCCTACTGCCTTTTGCTCATGGCAACTCCACGTGTCAGAGAAGAATTGCTCCGTAGGGTTTTCAAGGCTGTGACCTTTTGGAAGCAAATCGCCAGGCCTGTCATTCGAGATGCCTCTGGGTGGATTCAAACTGCCAGCCATTCGGCTAGTAGCCGAGTGCTTAACTGTTTGTGGGGTCACCATGAATCGGAAAAGACTCGACAGCAACTGACCACAAAAACAACAACCTTTCGCTACCATTACTGCTTTGTACTCTTTTCTTCAGCTCACAGGGTCCTGAGGCCCAGCCAGGCTCATAGGGTGCTCAGCACGTACTGGTCTACTGGTCGACTGAGTGAGTTTGCCACCTGCTTAAGAACTCTGCCTGAGCTACAGACCTCTACATAAGACGGGGCTCCATCCCCCACCACTCCCCTTTCCCCTTGTTCTCTCTGTTCTGCCTTGCACCCGGAGCAAACTGTAAACTCCAAACTGAAGACCTTTGTCCTTGCTGCTTCCTCCACTGGGGTTACTCTTCTCGCAGATATCAGTCTTACTTACTCCCTTGCTCCCTTCAGATCTCTGCTCAGATGCCACTCCCTCAGAGAGGCCTTTCCTGACCTCCGTCTGTACAACAGCACCCTTTCCCACCATCCCCATCCCTTTCTGTCCCCTTACCCTGCTTCCTTCTGCTTCTTCCCGGTACTTGCTGTCAGCTGATATACTGCATATTTTTCTTATTTGACTGTCTCTTTTTATCAGAATGTCTGCTCCCTGAAAGCGAGGACTTTATCCGTTTTGGTCAACAGAGCAGTACATGGCACACAGTAGGGGCTCAGTAAGTAGTTGTCGAATGAATGAGTGAATTCAATAGGCTGGGCCAACCTACTGAATTGATGTGGATGGCAGCTGTAGGGGACTGAGGGTGGACAGCCACACCAGCTCCATAGCAACAAGACTAATGCAGTTCCTACCGGCCTGGGGGCCAGGGGCTGCCCACCTGCTGTCTGTCCTGCCGGGGTTGGCTGAGGAGCCAGGCCCTGCTGGGGAACCACTGGCCTGGCAGAGTTCGGTGTAGCACTGACGAGGAGTATGCGCTGACGCTAGCTGAATTGCTATCACGAACGTTCCTGATGAGCCCAGAGTTTCCTCATATCGGTTGTAAGGAAGAAAAACAAACGAGACCCCTTCCATTTCCCTGTATCTTGTGATTTTTATAAAATAAATGCAAGACTTTAATAAATCCCAATGTTTTGTCTACAAAGCACAGACAGGGAGTTTTTCTACCTGAACTGTGTTGTTAGAAAACAATAATTGAGGACTTCAAAGAAAATAATTAGTAATGATGCACAGTGATTTCATTCTCTTCATTTCCTATGTCCCTCTCTGGGATTAGCTAATTTTTCCTTATACTGCCTATTGCAGTAATGACTTAAAAAAAAAAAAAAAAAGAACGATCTCTTTGGGTTATTTGAATTCCTTTCAGCCAACGACCTCAGAGTGCCACAGGTACAGTAATTCGTTAGTCTTCTCTTATTATGTAAGTGGAATTGGGATATTATTACCATGCTTTGCAGACTGAGAAACAAGCAGAAGCCAGAAAAGGACCATAAAAATAGGACAGAGAAAAGGAAGGGTTAGAAACCAATGACTCAACTATATCAGAGTCACTGGTGGAGGTTATTGTATTTATGCTGGGTGTGTATGTGTGGGGAACGGTGGTTAGGAAATCATTTTCACACCTGCCTCCCTAAGAAACCCCATTCCCCAGATAGGAAAATTGAGGACTTGTCACGGGAGCAGCTGAAGAGCTGTATCTCTGCTAGTCAGCACTGGGGTGAGGTCTGGAAGCCCCAAGTTTTTTTGCTGATAAGACCCTAAAAAGGAGTCCCTGGCTGGTGCAAATGGTTAAGTGCTGGACTAGCCAGAAGACTGGCAGTTCAAACTTACCCAGAGGTGCCTTGGAAGTAAGGCCTGGTGATCTGCTTCCAAAAGGTCACAGCCTTGAAAACCCTGTGGAGCAGTTCTACTCTGCAAACATGGGGTTCCCATGAGTCAGAATCCACTCTCTGGCAACTAACGACAGCAGACCCTGAACCCCTTGCCTTTTGCTTCCACGTAGCTCAGCAATCCCCAGACTGTTTCAGTCAGATCTCTCTGGTGTGGCATTTACTCTTCCTGACCACTGTGGTCGGAAG